GCTATAAATATATATTTTTATAAATTAAATATCAAATTTTAAAATAAGATAAGAGATACTAATATTTAAAATTATGATATTATTATAAATTAAAAATAAGTTTAAAATGATCATTTTTAGTCTCTCAACTTTTAATATATGTATATTTTTCATCCATCCACTTTAAATTAAGGGACTAAAAATGTGTATATTTAGATAAATTTAACAAAATAATTGATAGAAAGACAAAAAAAAAATGAAAAATGGACTAAAAAAGTACATAAAAAAGTTAAAGGATAAAAATTATATATGACATTAAAGTTGAGGATCAAAAATGAAATTTATCCTTTTAAATTTGAATTGAGTTGTACGGACTTATGTGTATGGCAGTTGTCGGCTATGAAAAGGCCCTTAGCCCAAAACGGCGTCGTTTTGGGCTAGGGGACTTTTTTTTTTTTTTTTAATTTGCAGTGTGTACCGACCGAAATTCCGGTGAATCGACCGGTATACTAAAATTTTGGACAGTACATTGGATTTTAACCGAAATGCTCAGAATTTGACCGAAACAAAAATTGACGTTATATCGTTTAGGTCAAGTGCCAAAACCGGTATGTATTGACCGTACCGGCCGGTATGTATTGACCGTACCGGCCGGTACGGTATTAACTTCACTGGACGAAAGTCTTCTATTTTGCAAAGGAATAAAAATCCAAATAGGTTCTCACAAACGTCAAAAATTGATAATTCCAGTAATTCAATTATAAATGGCTTTACAAGTATAATGCTAGACTCATTCATTTAAAGTTTAAGGTATATATGTTTTGTCTACTATTTTTTTTTCCCATCATATATTAACAAGTTGTTATTTGGAAAGGGAATACTGATATTTTGTCTCCAATCTCTAATGGTGAATTTGTTTTCTGATTTGTTTTTATTATTCTTTTATTGACATGACATTCCAATCTTATTAACTATGCATATTTATTGATAATGGTACCATACTTTGTTTTAAAATTCTTTTGCCTCTAATTTCATAGATTGGAATTCCCTTGGATTTATGGTTTTTTGTTTAGATTGTAACTCAAACAAATTGTTTGTAGGTTACTTAGATATTGGGGACCTTATATACAAATGCAAGTATTGTGGTACATTAACGTGGTATGATGAGCGAACTAAGAAAGATCGTTACCCAATCAATCCAGAATTCACTTTGTGTTGTATGAATGGCAAGGTTCAATTGCCTTTTCTCAAGCCTGCTCCTGATTTACTCACCTATTTACACAAAGCTGAGGACGATTGCAGTAGGAATTTCCTATGCAATCTTAGGGTGTATAATATGATGTTTGCATTTACATCTTTTGGAGGTAAAGTTGATCCCTTGATCAATCAAGGTTCAAATCCTCCTATTTTCAAACTTGGGGGTCAAAATCATCATTATGTGGGCAGTCTTCTCCCTGTTCCAAATGGGAGTCCTAAATTTGCCCAACTTTACATCTTTGATACAGATAGTCAAATTAAAAACAGATTGAAATGTTTTGGGTATGTAAATCATCTCCTTGATTACATTATTGCTTTTTTTTGTTTAGTGTTTTTAGGAATTACATTTGAAACTATTATGCAATTTTCTAAACTGATTATTTATTTATTTATTTTTACAATTCAAGACAGGAAACTGATTTAGCTGGTTTTTGGAGTAAATATTTGTTCTTTATAACTCTTCCATGTCTTTTTTCCAAGTTTCTTCCATGTGCAGATACATTAATTTCTTTCTTTAGACTATTTTTATTTATTTATTTTTATCTTTCAGGTTTAGATACATAGATTTAAGGTTTGGATATATGTTCATTCAAGGGAATAAGGAAACAAGGAGAAAGAGTGGAGGTGGTGGAAGAGAACTTTGGTAATAAAAGGGTAAGCATAATACCTTTTGTCTCTACTATAACAATTGTTATTGTAAATAAAAGGTTGACTTGTGATATGTAAAATGAAAAAAAAAAATTAATAGATCTCATCTAAATATTGTTCTTTTCTCTTTGATTGTGTCTAAGCAAGTGTGTTGAAGTTCATATAAAACATTTTCATCTGCTTATACCTTTTATTTGATTAAACAAACTTTATTTCAAAAATGAGAATTTTTTTTTGCATAATGGTATGGAAAGGAATCATGTTAGCGGAAGGGTTTTTGGATATAACTATCTTAATTCAATACTAAACTTTAGTTTTTATTTTATAATAGTTTTATAAACATATTTAAGGTACTCTTTGCACCTCCTTAATAAAATTTTCTTTGCTAATAAAAAAATATTACTAATCTTATATAACATTATATATGTGTTTCAATAATATTTTATTAATTACTTTTTATTAATATATTAATTATATTAAATTTTTAAATATATATTTTTTCCATTTCACGGCCCGGGCGATGCACGGGATATTAACTAGTGTGGTAGATTTTGCTTCCAAATATTAATTACCATAATACCTATTAATAATTAATAATTTGGTTAGCCATCCTAAAATTTTGGATCAAGAATAATAATAATAAAAAGAACCAAATACAATTAGGGTAATGATGTAATTTCAGCTGAAGATGGTTCATGATCAAAATAAGGGTGTGCCTTGTGCCCTGCAATAATTTCATGTCTCGCTATATATGAAAAGGTGTGAGGATAATGTAAACATTATAATATAATGTGAATGGTAGCAGAGAACTCCACCATACATGATATGAGTCTTTCAAAAATGAATCGGGTAGAATTCCTGATCTTGTACACTGTTGCATAATCGGATAACTCTACATTTTAGATTTTGCAAATGTCAAACTTGATTTCCTTTTTTCCATTGGAGGTTACATGGATTATTGTCAATAAGATAGATAATTTTCGACCAGGGAATTGAATTATAGCCAATCTGGACCATATCTGGCTGAACAAAGAAGGAAACAAAACAAGAGATGTCCAGCAGCACATGCCATCTTGCCAATCCAAACAACACAACTTAGATAATTGCCAACTACAATCCAAATGTGTTGGGTCTCAAAGTTGGGTCCCCTAGCTCAAGGACTGTTTCAGGTTCTAAGTAGATTGCATTTTTGAATATTTGATCGAAGATGGTACAAGTAGCTTACCAGATGATTTGACAATATTCTTAACACCCTCCCACCACTGTCTCATTCTCTCTTACCCTAGTCTTTTAGTGCTCTTAAGTGGTTACATTTTCCTGTACTCCTAATTTCTCCTTCGGCAGGCAAGATTTGATTATGGTTTAAATATCATTTTGGTCCCTCAACTTTTCACTTTGACACCAAAATTGTCCCTCAACTTTAAAAAATACTAAAATTATCCTTAAACTTTTTGATACCAAAACAGTATTTCCGTCAGTTAAATAGACAGGGCATGTTAAATTGCCACAATATCAATCCTTATATATTTTTTAAAATGACGTGTAAATTAAAATAATTTTTTATCTATGATTTGGCATTTTTATCATTATTTTACAA